GGGGGGGGGGGAAGACTTTCTTTCATCTTTGTTTTCCTCCTCTTTCATGTAACTAAGTGAATGAAGCACGAATAGCCTTATCGGAAGTAATGCGTAAAGTTAATGGAAGGGAGTGCATAAAGACTAACCAATTCCGAGGCGTAGGTAAGGGAATTAATCGAATATGAATTGACAGGTTGAGTGGTTGATTAAAAGGGGTTGATGGGATTGAGGTGACGTATGAAATTGCGGAGTAGTGTCGTTCCTGGTAGATTAGGGAGAAAGGACAATTAGTCAGACATGATTGTCGAGCTGATGTATCCAACGATTGAAGAATGAATAGTTTGTAAAGTATACGAAAGAGTGAATAGGAGGCTTATGAGTCAAAAGAGTAGAATGTCGGATTGCAAAATAATGTCGGTAGATTGATGGGTCTGAACGGAGGGGTGAAGGTTAAAGTAAGAATGGTTCGATGAGTCGCTCATGAAATATAAGTGGATAGGCACGTAATAGGTGAAAGAAGAGTAAAAGATTAAAGAACTGATAAAAGAGGTGTTCTCATATTTAAGTATTGGAAAGGCTTGTAAAAATAGCCAGTTTTAAATGAGGGAAGATGGTTTAACTGCGATGGACGTGTCGGACAAAAATGGAAGAAGGTGAAGTGGTTAGAATTTACATCACAACGCTCTCCTTCATTGTAGATGTTTCTCAACGACTACGATGACCTCCCACTGGACGCGTTGAAGTACCTGACGGGGGAGTGCAACTATGGTGGGAGAGTGACGGATGGGAACGATCGCAGATGTCTGGTCTCCCTATTAAACATCTTTTACAACCACGATCTTGTGACGCAGGACAACTACAGGTAAGTTGTTGGACCATTGACCAATTGGTATTTGATCATGGATAGTGAATAAAAACTGTAAAGATACTCAAGCCTGCACCACTGGCTAGTCTATTTTAAGTCTAATTTTAGTATGAAAGACATTCAAGTTAAATTACATGAAACTGACTTTCCTGCTCTGATTGCAGACCATTCCACTTCACCGTTAATTTGGTTGAGTTAAACCAAAGAATAATTAATCAAGGATAAGCACTTACTTCAATGAACCTTCGTTTGTCCATCATCACCTCTCCAGCGGAGTCCATCATTCACGTTAGTTGACAATAAGCATCATTTTTCAGTCTTTCGCCATCAGGATTGTACACAGTTCCTCCGGAGGGGAGCTATGAGAGTTACCTGGAATTTATTCGGTCCCTTCCGAGTCGGCCGAGCCCTGAGGTGTATGGACTTCACGAGAATGCCGACATAACAAAAGACAACCAGGAAACCACTCAGGTAGTTAAAACTTTTTACTTATTAGGGTACCTCTCCAACATTAAATATGGCTCCAAAGCACGCCCTAGGATTCACTCATACTCCTCAAAAACTCATTTTTCTTCCCTTCGATTAGCATGCTGGTAGTGGAAAAGTAGGTACCAATTGTAAAGCTAGATTTCATCCTTTCTATTAGATTTTAAGAAAGTAGTTGTAGCTTACATTGTAGTTGCATAATTTGCCAAAAGCCCTCCTCATTTGATTCGCTAGTGTAGCATATACCACTTTGCATAAAATTACTCTCAACAGTTATAAGTAGCAATGGCAAAGTCCATTTACCCCAATTAGCTCTTCGATGCCATCTTGCTGACACTTCCACGTGAATCAGGCGGCGGGGAGAAGTCCACGGAGGCGACAGTCAGCGATTTGGCAATAGACATCTTGAACAAGCTACCGCCTGAGGATTTCGACTTACAAAAGGTGATGAAACTCTACCCTGTGGTATACACAGAGTCTATGAACACTGTGTTGCGGCAAGAGTTGATTCGCTTCAACACTCTCACTGCGGTGGTGCGCAGTAGTCTGCAGGGTCTCTTACGTGCCATTGAGGGCCTTGTGGTAATGTCGGCAGAGTTGGAAGAAGTGTACGCCTCCATGCTCGTAGGCAAGGTGCCAGCCGTCTGGGCTGCCAAGTCATATCCCTCACTAAAACCGCTTGGAAGCTATGTTGTTGATTTACTAGCAAGGTTAGCTTAACTTTGCACTTAAATTGATTTCATTTTTCTGTATTCTAAATTGACACTGTCGAAACGCGGAAATTTGACTTGACTCTCATTGGAGCTTTGAAATCGTTTAAACTCGCCGATAGATGGCCAATTGGACTCCGTGTGCAAAAGTAGTAGAAACTTGTCATCCGTGTCGGTAACTATGACCGCTGCTGAAGTGAATAAGGCTTTACACAAAAGGTTAACTGACTTAAATCGACTTTCGTCTTCTATGATTCCACGCCCAAAAGGATTAAAAAAGAAGTCACTACTTTACCTGATTCTAACTTATTTTCGTTGAACCGCATATTTCGCATGCATTCAAACAACGAAAACAGACTTAACTTCTTCAATGAATGGATCACCTTCGACTCGCCACCTGTGTTTTGGATCTCGGGCTTCTACTTCACGCAGTCCTTCCTGACTGGCGTGCTGCAGAACTTTGCGCGCAAGTACACCATTCCCATTGATATGGTAGGCTTCGACTTTGAAATGAAGCGCATCTATATCAACAGCGTTCTCGAGCCCCCCGCCACCCCGAGTCCCACAGAAACCACAGGATCAGATGAGGAAGCAACACAAGAGCAGGCACAACCAGTAGACCGTCTTCCCATCACCCCCTCGGCTGCTGCTGATGGCACACTACAGCGACGCAACACCTTCCACGGACTGACCAAACCTGATAATGGAGCCTTCATTACGGGCCTCTTCATGGATGGCGCAAGATGGGATTCAGAGGCCGGAGTTGTGGCAGAGTCAAAACCGAAGGTTCTCTTTGATGCTATGCCTGTGGTGAGTTGATATGACGGTGAATTGAAGTTCCTTAAATGATAAACTCACTGTTATCACTGTTAAGGCGAACAAGTCTCAACTCGAATTTCATATCGTTTTTCACGCCAGTAGTAGCTATGGCGATCATCAGTCTGTTCGCTTTCCTGTAGATCTGGCTGGTGCCGAAACGACTGGAGAAGGTGGTGACGGAAGCAAAATACTCCTGTCCCGTGTACAAGACATCGGTGCGACGTGGCGTTCTCTCCACCACAGGACACTCTACCAACTTCGTTCTCTCCATCCTACTACCCACCGAGATGCCAGAAACTCATTGGATAAATCGGGGCGTAGCTGCGCTTTGCCAACTGGATGACTGAGATCATTTTCCCACTTTAACACAATATCCCTCACCTTCACCCTCGTCGAGTCTTCCTCCCCCGTACTTTCTGCCATCTGATTTGATGCCTCAAAGTACTACTCGTAGTCTTAAAGCGTTTTAAAAGGGTATTGTGTTATCTGAGAAGGGGGGAGGAGAGGGAACGGAAGATTAGTTTTTCAGCACAGACAAACTCTGCCTCCGCTTGTTTTAAATACATTCCGACATTAAAGCCATTGACCTTAAAATGCAGAATAATTTTTTCCCAATGGAGTAAAACAATTCTTAGGGGAGTAAATGACAATTTGTACTATTATGTCCGATGAATGAATGGTCAAGCGTACGACACATTGGCCCAAATAACCGGGAGCTCAATATGAAATGTTGATAATTGAATGAGCATTGTATCTGAAAAGCTAGACACATGGGTCAGTACTTTTCTATGCATAAAATCTTCCTCATTCATCGTGCTCAACTGGCATTCGCAAGTAGTTGAAGTGGAATTTTACCAAGAGACCACTGAAAATCAAATTCAATTAGCAGAACATTAGGCCAAAATTACAAGCACAAAGAAAAGAGAACGAAAGGTGAGAGTTAAAGAAGAGAAAAATCACAGCTACAAGGCCGCACTCCAGCCTGCATGCATTCTAGCAAGCAGCTCTGGGCATGTACTAAGGCAGACCAATCGCCGGACCTGTTCCACTGGAGGAAGATTAACTGATCCACCAGTGCTCGCCACCGTTGTCCTTGCAATCACTTCAAAATGAGCGAACCAATTGTTTGCGCCAAAACGTCCTCTCAAGTCTTCAATCAGCAGCTCCGCCGGGCAGTGACCACTCAACTTTCTGCGGAGCAAGGACAAGCGACAATGCCGGTATTCTTCTTCAGATTGGTGGTAACATTCACTGAAGACGGACCAATCAGTACTCGACTTGTCAATGCATGTCTAGATGAATGGGAGGATGAGTGATTATTATGGTAGGTAAGAAATGCAACATAGAGCATTTAACTCAAAGAAAAGTTGCTCAAGTGTAAAAGTAGTCCCATTTCGGCAGTACATTTTACGATCAACCAGACCAGATAGCAAAAATGCGTGTTTTGGACGCTACTAACTGCCTGAATGGTCGAGAGAAATAGACTAGAGTGGTGACGAAGAGAGGCGAGAGTGCGGTAAAGCGTGGAACCAAAGAGACCTGCAGGTCCAGAGGGCTCTAGCAGCTCGCGCAAGCTTGCAGTCAGTCGGATGGGTACGTACTCGGGTGTGGGAAAGCTGAGAGTCACGCCGAACGCGAAACCAAAGTCAATGCCTACCAAACTGCCTGTTGATACATCCAAGAGGAAATTGCCCATATGACGATCTCCGACTCCTGCGAGAGGGTACACACAAAGTGAGCCAAAGGTTTATTAGTGGCAGTTTGGAGAACAGACACTATTGTAGCCATTAAAACCTTGTCCATGCACTACTAGACTAATCAACAGGGTATCTGTGCGGTATCTTTACCGCACAGATGAAATAAAGAGCGAGACAATATTCTACCAAGAACGAAGTGAACAGCACAGATAGCGGCATGGCTGGAGATAAAGCGGTACCGCAGAGCAAAGAAATGCTCCGCCGATGTAGCCACCGAATTACGAAGACCGCGACGGAGGAGGCGAAGGGAGAAGACAAAATTTTCGAGCTCGGTAAATTGCGAGACCATCGACGCCGAATCAGCCTCAGAGCCCCAAAGGAAGTCGCCAGAGTGGTCAGCAGCCTTTGCTGCCAACTCGCTACGCTCAGATCTGGAAAAGAAAACTAATAAGAACATCTCCGTTTTTTATTCAACGTTTCAACCTGCATCCATTATTTTGCAACGACAAAAATACTTTAATTTTTGCACTCTATTTGATAAAATCAATTGTTTCAATGCTGTTCTTTGTTGACACAGGCGTCACTCAAGCTAAATGTCTCGACTTACGAGTAGTGTGCACTCTCTTGCACAGTCATCGCGTTCGTGGCGAAGGTGAAAAGAGTGGTGGTACTGGACAGCCATTGAATTAGACCGCGTGTTGAGCTCACCGGCACTACTGCGTAGGTGCGGAGAGGCTCAGCAGAGGCGCCGGTGGAGGTGGTTGTGGTGGCAGAAGCAATGGCATAGTTTGCGAAATTGAGAAGACGCTGAATACTTGCATCCTGGCGCAGATCTTCGCCTCCTTTAACCAACCAACCACGCCAGTAGCCATCGTTGCCCAAAAGACGCACCAGTTTTGGTCGTCGTAGACTTGGCAGGCACTTCAACAAAGGCCGTTTCAATAGATCGAAAGGATAAATGAAAATCCAGCCCATACGAAAATTGAGAAAAGGTATCTTTCGCCTATATGATTAGCAAAGTTGGGGGCATTTTGAAAACTCAACGACCATCACACGGCTCACCTTGATGTTCGGATCAACACGTTCGATGGTTACAGCCACTTGTCCTTCTGAGGAGGGACCTACGCATTGACCCAGCATTATGAGTGGGTCCTGCTCATCTGGAGAAAAGTTAGCCAGCCATTGTGAAAAGTGGTTCACACTTGAGATCTTTGGATCGTTTTGTGTATAAGTGGAAAGGATTTTTTGGATAGCAGAGTCGAAATCGGCAAGAGTAACGCTCTGAAGAGCTTCACAGTCATGCCCAAACTCCTTATGCACCAGATCAGACAGCTGAAATGAATGAAGAGATTGCTGTGAATACCAGTTATGCCTTCAGTCAAATTTGGTATCAAAATCTTGGCTTAGAGACCCACTTTCTGTACCGCGCGTTGTCGACCCAAGCCAGCATTGGCAGGAGTTGCAGGAGAAACTACAATGAAGGAATGGATGCTTAACTAACAAGAACGTTAAATTACCCCAAAAGCTAGTTGATTTAAATTAACCTGCGTCATAGAGTCGAAGGAATCCGTACTCCAAAAGGCTGTTACAAGAGGCTATGAGATCAGTACGGTCTGGAGAATCAGAACGGAAACTTTTTCGCGCGTAGTTGCTCACCCAATCCTGTAGAAAAAGTTAAAATATGAGACCAGACTTGGAGGCAATGCCGATTGCGCAGCTATGCGTGCCTTGAATTGGCTGAACCTTTACTGGCAGCAAGTTAGATTGGAAACTCGATACAAGCTATGCTGCACAAAAATTAGTTTCAGACCCCAAAATTTGGCGATATAGATTATGAGAATTGGCGATTCAAAAGCATTAATCGAGGCTGTCCAACCTCCTGCATCAGTTGACCAATCAAGTGGCGGCAGTGGAGTTTCAATGTGCTCCATAGATCAATATTTCTTTAAATTCATTGTTCACACGCCACAAACACCTCCTCAAAATCTATGTCATCGCTCCGGATGGCACATAGAAGTTTCATTTTCCGCATCGCGAATTATGTTTAGGCAAATAAAATCGGCACACAGACAAAACCTACAGGGCTACACATTTAATGAGGCGGCAAAATCGTATCGATAGTGAATCGGAGATTGATCGTTACTATCTAACAATGAGATGCATATCTTGGAAGCTAGTTGTGCACAGGATCAACAACTTCCCAATGCACTTTAAGAACGCGAAGAGAGCGTAAAAACAATTCGAACGAACATCTTTAGCTTCAGTAATCAATTATCAAAATTTCATTCAATTTGAATACGCCTGCCATGTCGTCTGGAGCACGATCCGAACATCACACTGGAAGCAATCCAGGATGAACATCAACACCCAACCTCTAGTGCTATCATCTTGTTTTATTCATGGAACAGTGTCAGCTTCCAGAGCCACGGCTACACCTAGAGACAGAGAACAAGAACGCTCGCAATTGAAAAGAAAGTGCCGATAGGCAGCATACAAACGTCAAGAGGAAAAGAACGACCCAACAAACTCTAAAGGAAGTCCCAATGAGCCTATGGAAAATGTTGGGGATAGGTCAAAGAAGGCTTGTATGTCATTCCATTTGAAAACCTTCTTTTCCAATAACGCACTATCCCGGCAAGGATCTATCAGCATCATACAATTAGGTACCAACTCCGACACTGCTGGAATTACTGGAAGCCCTCTGATTTCCAGTCCGCCTGTTCGACGGACATTGGCATAGTCAGTGACCATGTGACGTTTTAATAACAACTTCGACTCCTCATAATTTTCCATGATGTCCCATTCACCGAGCTGTGTTGCGAGACTCGGCTTCGACTAGCTTGACAGACTTAGGAGGAATTACTAAATAGCACAAAAGCTTATCAAAGTTACAATATTCCCTTTTTGATAAGGATTGTAGCGTAGATTTGTAAGAATTTCGCTGAGGTTGGTCACAATCAACAAAAACAAATAAGAGGAAACATAAAAAGAAAAAGCGCGTTTGAAGTAGTGCGATTTGCTTTGAGGTGGTTAAAAGTGCGAGAAAACTACTCTCACCTTGAAGACGATGTCCGGATCGTCCAGGTATTCCAACTCTCCAAGGAGTCGATTTAGTCTCATGTGTTTCGAGAGCATGCCTGACAGCCTTCCAAGAAATAGAGACCGTATGTTAGTACACGAAATCGGAAATGGTTTCAAAATACTTACTTACTTAGCAACTCAAATATTGCTCTTGAATACCTAAAAATCTGTCTTTAAATAAAAAAAAGGAAATGGGAAGTAGACCAAAACTTGTCCCAAGAGAGTGCTGACGTGTGTCACACAGTTAAAGGGCAAAAATGATATCCATAATGGTTTTTTACCAAACATACTCTATGAAAATTGATATTGACTCTCCTTTTTCGTCCTCAATTAGCCTTGTAATAAATCGTTCAACTAGAGATCGCTTGTCGTGTTTCCAACCGTATCCGGACGTCACCAGAACTCGGAATGGGAGAGCCAGTACCTGTGAGAACTGTTGAGCGATCCGACGAAGAATACCCGCTACTAGACAAGTCCCACCCTCAAGCGGAGCATTCAAAAGTCTATCAAACCACTGCGAGAACATCCATGGAGATAAATCCTTTGTCTGAGGGAGAAGAAGGGAAGAGAAAGGAAAATATCAAGCAAGAAGGGTAAAAAGGAATAAGAGGTAGTTAAACGGACCAATTCACAAAAGACATCAGAATTGTAATTTGTATTGGACTTGCAACGTGCCACTTCAACCTGCAGAACTCGACCAAACCGGATACGACCGCCCTCAGCACCCATTCGCATTGCAGTTAGCACAGAGCGTGTGAAAGTGTCCCCATAGACATCTCGCTTTCCCTTGTCTTCTGCTGTCAAACATGAAGTGAAATTGCAAACACAGTAAAATGACAATTGCGTCTAAAAGCCTATTCCAATTCATTGGCTTCTCCAACCTTCTGATAGTAAGAAGGTCTGATTACATCACCAATATTACTAACTCCTTGTCTCTGTCTACCATATGCATCGGTTAGACGATGCACCACTTGTAAACTGAATTTCAGATGGCATGAAAACTTAACACTCCTTGAAATTCGTTCGCCTCCTTCCACCAAAAGGTAGATTGTTTAGTCAATACATTTACAATAACTCGATGGAACAGAGAACCTGAATCTGTTGGAAGTGATAACAAGGTAAAAGCAATCATCGCACCATTATCGATTCGTTCATTGCAAAAGTTTGCCACTTCCAGAAGGGCTTCGTCAGGAGTATAGACAAGAAGGTTCCGTCGATAGATGGCCTTTTCTGTCAAAGACGATGAGTCCTTTGACGCCAACCAAACACCCATCGCCATATCCACGCACCTCTTGAAGAAGGAGAAGGCGCTAGACTCGAGAAAATTCCCATCATCTACCTCGCCCAAACCATGGACCTGCGAAAACGCCGTCTTCATTGAGGGTTGGAGGGAGGTCACGTAGCGCCTTAAACCAAGGTCACTCAAATAATCTGAAGTCTTAAAATCATAGAATGCTGAAAGGATTTGGGCCGTGGAAATGGCGTGTGAGAATTGAGTAAATTCTGCATCTCCAATGCCCATTGAAGGTGGCTGGCGAAGAGACCCGTAAATTTCGATGCAGTGAGCTGAAAGAGACGATCAGAGCGTACTAGAAAGAAGTGCTGTCAGAAGGCGTCACTAGATGCCACAACGCCGTTTCTATTATAACTTAAAGGTAATTATGTGGGACCAATTAATTTTGCTGCAATCGCACAGGTCACAATTCGGATCAGAATGCGATTCCATATCCCCTAGAGAAAAGTAGTGAATAGTTTGGTGCATACGGAAAAGTTGACAGTCACTCTTCGAAATATCTGACCCACAAGGCATAATGTACTACCCAGGAAAAAACAATGCGATATGTTGAACAAGTCTTTACTCTGTTCTCGATGACACACACGATCAGCTTTTGGCTTTTTAAGAAGCTACTTAAGGCCTTGGTTACGAAAATTCCAAAAGTGATTATTTCACATACGTCATGGCTATGAAAAATATCAATGAGCCTAGGAATTAGACTGAGACACTGCCGCTAGGAGCATACAAAAGGTAATTTCTAGTGGTTTTAGACCTATTCCAATCACAGTTAAAAAGTGAGATTTACAAGTGGACGAGAGACATCGAAGAAGCCCATCCTCAAGATCAACCAGGAAATTATTGTTCTTTCCACCCGGAAAAAAACAAAAAATTTTGTTCTGAGAGTACACAGAAATCCAAGCGCGCGAAAATGCACTGCACCAGGCAAGACGACGGTATTCGATGTCATCACCCGCTTGCTCAAGCGCTTGGATCAGCTTATGCAGCGATGTGAGTTGATTGATGGCCCTACGGGGATTGCCACTGCGTGAAAACTCGTTGCTGCATTCAAGACGAAAGTCAATAACTGCGGGTAGTAACTGCTCCTTGAGTGATAAATGTCCGGCTACGGCCATTTTGGAGAGGTAAAAGAGTCTAGTACAAATAAGATTTAGGCTGAATTTACCGGGAAGTGGTCAATTCCTCACTAACAACAGAACAACGCTCTTGCCAGGTATGAGACAAATTCAAGGCAGCTTGTGCATCCAATTCTAGAGCAAAATAAATGTTTAGTCAAGCCTACCTCCAGTGAAAACTTCCAGAAATTCTTTCAGTTCTATGAGGAGCTGTGTCTTCTGCAGGAGTGTGTTCCTGCATTCTTCTGAAGACCATGTCTAGAACACAGTGAGTAGAATAGTAATGAGAAGTACCTGCACAAGCTCCTTAAAAGCCGATTTGCAACGAAGCTGAGCTCTGCTTAAATCTCCACAAAGCAAGCTGAAGACCGCTAACTCGTAAGCAAATTTGGTCTACAAGGAGTTGAGAAAACTGAAAGGACTTAAGGCACCTCAAAGTTCTGCCAAGCTGAGCGCAAACCGGATTCCATTATACGACAAAATCGGTCCAAAGCATCGGTGTCTGATGAGCTGTTGGAGGTGATGACTTTGTTTACTTCATTTAAGAGGCATTGGTGAAGGCGTGCATGGATGATTTGAGGAATTACGCTTTCCATTAAGTATGGATCTTTCCATAAAGACGCTAAAAGGTATTTGTACACAAATTAAAGAGTGGGCATTTTATTGATGCCAAAGTTAAATTTATGAAATTTCACCATTAACCACTGTCAGACGATTGGATTTGAATGAAATGATCAAGCAACACTTAGTT